ATGAACTATTGTATATTTATTTATATTTTGTTCAAAGTATTCTAATTTTTCAATTCAAGTTTCAATAATTTATTGTACAAATTGCTTGATTTCATTTCACTTCAAATCGGCAGGAAATCATTTTTATTGTAATTGGTTCAACATATTTATGTAGGTTATAGCTTTCGATATTTCTTTTTTGTATTTGTTTGTTATTAACGCGTGTACAAGTATGTTTATGTATATAGCGTATTCTATGTTTATTATATATATTCGTTGACTATTTCAAGCGAAGCTAATTTCTGATCTTTTCCAAATTATTATTGCTTTCGGCTTATGTATCGAGTTGGAATCATTTACAGGATAGCCCCACCGCACAAAGTCATTTAACACGACGACGTCACAGTACCAGCATTATTTCCAGACCTCAACCCAACCAGGTTCTTTACTTAAAATCTTTACATTCAGCCTAACGTACATATTCATACATACATTTCGTCTATTGCATACACAAATTTTTCTAGTTAGTCGTACTTGCAATTTCTTTCAACCATTGTGATTGCTAATTGATTATCTATCCAATAATCCTAAATTAATATATGCACACAGTTTTTAATTCTAACTTTGAGAAAAATAACAATAATTTTTGCGTTTTTTGCTCCTTACTGTAAAAAGTTTTTTTCTTTGTTCGAACTAAAGTTGTTGTTTCACATTAGTGGTTTCACATTCAAAACTAAAGAAAATTTAGCAAAATGTTGAAATAGCAATAGTATCTCTAGTTCATTAAATATATGTACATACATATTGTATATACAGTAACATTTAAATAAATATTGTGTTAATTACATTATGTATGCAATTTTTTTTCTGACGTACTACTTGAACCTGAAGGGACTGGTGAATTCGCCCTTTCGTGAACGTGTTGGAAGCAATCGTCTACCGGAAAAACGACCAAGGTTCTTATTCTGTCATTTATTATGTTGTTAACGGTTATAGTAACAGTATTGTGACAGCACCTAACGCATTATCAGTAACAATTATTTGATTTGATTCAAAAGCTTTTCCACTCCTACGGTGTTTGCTTACATATATATATATTATGCATAATAATGCTATTTCAGTATATTCTTTATCATCTTCATACGCACATATATATCATAGTCTATGAGTTTTCTTCTGCAACGTTCTGAAAGCATTTTATTTTTTCTTTATATTTATATAGTAATTTATTGTTTCTATTAATTAATCGAAAAATAAATAATATGAATATTTTATTATTTAATAAATGTAAAAATTTATTCAAATATGGCCGCCAAAATTTTATAAAGTTATACCTAATTTCATTCTACCAATTTTCTATATCAGCAGTTCTTTGGCAATGACATGTTAATACTTGTATTTTAATTTAATATGATTTAATTTGATCTCTATATTTTAATTTGGTTTTCGGTTTTCAGCATGTTACACCTAGATTTAATGAAAAGCATCATCCACTATTTATGTCAACACAGCAAAGGTTGGTCAAAGCGAAGCTTTTAAGTTTTGTCCGATTTGTTTTTGTATTTCATAGCGCACATCAACTAATAAATAAGTAGTCGTAATTAGCATTTACATTTGCTGGCCCATGGAGGTGTATTAATTTATATTGAGTAGAATAATAAAAAAAAAGAAAACAGTTATAATTCTTACCAAGCAAAGATGGTGGCATGAAAACTAACGACATCATTCCGAATTCACGCTTGTGCTTATTAGACAAGTGGAAGAAATAAGTCGTTAGTTTTTTCACCATGTTTGGTGAGGTATAGTATTTATATATTTTAGAGGTATAGTGTATAATACATAAAATATATTTAATAACAGCTTTATCTCGAAACCTGTGATGAAAGTCGATCGTGGTCGCATATCGCCCGCAGCGGATGCAGCTGCAATAGCATTGAATAATGATTTAAGCCACAAAGAGGATCAGGATGATGGGTAAGTGATTTTCATTGAAAATACATATGTACATCGAGGTTAAAACTAACTCAAATCTGAAAACAAGAGAAATACTTATGCACGCATATTCGTGGCCGTATTACTAATTTTCTATTATTATTCTTTAATTTTTTATGCAAAGCTTTGCATCAGAGGTAAAATTACGCTCGAATTCCGATTTGAATGAAATTCTCGAAGCGATGAAGCATCCCATAACCGGTGTAGCTTTCTTTACTCAGACCTCTAGCCTGCCATGCTACACCTTTGTTTCACATGAGGCCTTGCTTTGGCTCAAGACACGTTTGGACAACAACAAAAATCCATTAGACATATTGGAAGCCATGCGAAAGTAATAAGTAGTTTATTCATCTTGCTATTTAATAAAATAATAAAAATTTTCAGAGAGAAAATGATTTGTCACGCTTCGGGAGATTGGGATAAGCAAATTATACCTGGCTTTTATCTTTATTTTATAGTGCAACAAGAAAAGACGGTAAAAGGTACTTTTAGTGAGATTATGTCAGTGAAGTGAAGAGTGGTGAAGAGGACAATAGTATTTATTTATTATTAAGAAATTCAATACTTTTTACACGGAAATTATATTGTATATGAACATTTGTATGTATATTCATAAATTTATATCGATTTCAGAGGTACCTAAACCTCTCTTGGATTTAAGTGCTTTTGAGAATGAGTGGATGGAGATCGAATTACAGGGGTGTAACCATCTGTGGATTGATGAAACGAAGACTCCGAATATACCCACATTCTTGCGAGAAATACCATCGGCACAATCTTGGGCAGATTATAGTCAAAATAGTGAGTAAATATGTATTAAATAAAAAATACACTCAGGCAATATTCTTACAGAAAAAATATACCGTCATTCCCATTTGGAAATCAATGTCAATCAAAAGAGCGAGCGTATGGAATGGGGTCATGTCAAGTACCATACTGTTATGCAACCCGGATATGCTTTTGAAATAGTCGTTGAGTGGGTCACGGCATCCGGACCAATTGTGGGAGATTTGGTATGTGTGCATACGGACATATGAAAAATGGAATTAAATGTTCAGGTTTTTGCTTATTTAAATTTAAAGATTTGGAGCTGGACACGTAAAGCGAATCATTGCAATTATGAATTGATATCAGTTCCTGCAGATCCGATGGCAGAACCATTTACAGAGAAATCTGATCCACTCCGTGGTCCCATTTTCATACCGTTATCGGAGAAATTTTTAAGTGACAAGAGTGTTATGTTTGGCGGTATGTGATGATATACTTTATACTTGGATGACTATTTAAAAATATAAAAAAATTGTATCTATTCACGAATTAGAATTCGTTGAAGAGAGTAGAGCTGATCGTATGTTACTATTTCAAGAAGCTATTCTAGCAAGATTCGGATTTTTACCATGTGTGATAGAGAAAAAGTATTCGTTTAACAAAGATGTAAGTACCTCATTCATTATACGCGTACAAGTTAACTCAATATACAAGTTGATATTCAAAAAGTGACCATGTTTTCTTTATAATCACATAGGTGCCTAAGGAATACCAATATGTACATTGTTCCGGACACATGTTTGTACTTATTCGGTAAGAAAAATTACTAACAATATATGCTTTAATAAATTTGCAAATATAAACTAATTATTTCTACAGTTGTTCAAAAAACAACTACCAATTTGAGTCTCCAAGTCGACAAGAAGCGAACGTTACCCGATGTGTGTACGGGCACACAAATAATACTAATGTACCAAAGAAGGTGTTGTCATGCGTATAACTAATTTGATAGCAATGTTATTTTAATGTTTTATTATATATTAATAGGTTGGATTTTTATGGGCCTGGAATCATATGATTCCCAATAAGAAGTGGAAATCGTTGTTAATTAAAAATTCGCAAGACGGTGAGCTTTTTCAATTGAAAATGCTTAAAGATTTTCGTGATTTTTGTTCGGATGCTGATGAGCGACTCACTAAATTCTGGGAGCATTGCCATGAATTGAAACGAAAATCTTTAAAAATGGATAATATTGTCGAGGGAAAGGCTAAATAGTTACAAATACATAAACATTCTTACTTCTACGTACATATTCTCATACAAGTATTGTATATAAAGATTCATATTTGTGTCATTGTGTGTTTATACGATCCATTTGTTTTTAAAACGAGTCGTCCAATAACAACAACTGTTTCAAATTAGTTAAATTAATATCTGAGTATGTATATAGTCGATTTTGGTGCGCCTTGAAATATTTTTTTACTGTTTGACTTTGACTTTTACTGTTCATTTGCATGGTAAAAGTGCTGCAACCTTTTATAAAGTATTATAATTTTTTAGAGATAAAAAATTGTGATATTTCTTAAATGGTTTACAATTTATGGTTCCTTCTGAACTAAAACTATTATATACTAGTTAAACATTTAATACCGAAAATTTACCCACTGCAATTTGAAAAAAAAAAATAATAAATTTGTACTTTTTTTATGGAAATTTTATGTGTTTAAATAGTCTGGAATTTTTTAGAAGCAACATTATAAGCAACTTGCTTGCTTCTTTGGGTAACATACCATGGCCATTACATAGTATAATTTATGTATATCCCTTTGTGTGAAAATTTTATGTCTAATTGTTGATAGTAATTATCACTGTAGTTACCTCAGAGGTATTTTATTATTTGCTGCTTAAAGAGGTAATACCTCTAATGAGATAATTAATATTCAAATCTGCTCCAAATAAGTACTATGTGTAAATATACTGTAATCTTTGTTGACATTGAAACTAAAACAGCTGACCGAAAATTTAGCGCTACCATCACATTCTTTTAATTGTTACAACTGAAAAAATATATATAGATAACATATAGATTTTGTCGTATTGTAATATTGGTTTTGACTTTAAGAGATTATTATAACGGTAAAAGATGTTTCAATAATAGTTTAATAATTATTTATATATTTTTATTACCGGAAAAAATATTTGTTTAATTTACTTTGTCAGTGTGGCAATGCTAACGGTTTTCCAATTTTGACAGCCTGTGTTGTTTTTGTTCTTAGTTTTTCTATTTAACGAAGTAATCAAAATACAGTAAAAATTTAGTAATTAATAGTTGTCATGATTTAAAGCTTTGAAGGCAGCAGGAAGATTTGGGTATTTTGTTGGATTGGACACATATGTCACAGAATATTGTGTAGATAAACAATGAATAATTGGGTTCAATTGAATGATAAGTTTTAGCTGATGGGAAATGACACATGAAGTGATGTGTTCAAATGAAAGTGTTTGCCGGAGTAGTGTTAAATAGTTGAATTTTTGATTGATGTTAAAGTATGCGGTTTAATGCACAAATATTAACAGCGTACAATTAGAATAATATATACATAATTTATATGAAATTGAGTTCAAAAGCACAAAAAAGGAAGAAATTGGGTTACAAATTGTTAACACAAGAAAACAGTAACTCAACACACATTTATTATTTGCTCCATACAAGGATATACCTACATAAGTTCCAAAATTTTGTTTGCTTCGTTATTATTTGGTGTGGTTGCAATCATAGCCGTTGTCCTATTAGAAATTTATAAGTGGACAACTGATGTGACTACATGCAATTCCATGGCACATTTTACTTGGTAAGTATCTGTATGTAGTATGAATCCAATATGAATATTGTACTGTATGGTATTTAAAAGTTAAGAATATATCTATAATATTTGGTGGAATATTTAATTCACCTGATATTTTTAAGTTGTATTTGAATATATGTGAGGAGGCTCTGTTTTGTTTTGCTTTGTCCTAAGCTAAGACATAAAGAGGGAAGGTGCCGTCAGTAAACGTGCTTATGCATTTAAATGCTCAAAATGACAAACCTACCATTAAATTAAATAAATTCAAACTAAAGAGTTTTCAGTGTACTTGAATAAATCAGAATACTGCTTATTTAAAAAGTCATATAATTCAAAAGCTTAAACAGAGTTTTACAGTCTAGTACCTATGTACTCACATACATAAATTGTTTGTTGAATCCAGTGGTTATTGAGTTATTTTCGCATCTCACAAAATATCGAATTATAAAAGTTAAATTGTAATAGTACGTTTGCATTTATCAATCGTAAATAGCGGGATTCGGTAGCTCAGATTTGTAGCTTCCGTTATTTAATGTCACTTATTTTGATTTCTAAAAAATGTAAAATTATCACATGCGTTCGTATATACATACATATGTACGTACAGATATGTATTTGCTTATATTTTTATTGTATTTGAACAAAATAAAAAAATAATGTACAAATTCATATTACAGGTATAACAAACACAACCTGTCTCAATCTAATGTGAATCGTGCGGATACTGAACATCATGTACCGCTTTGTTCCATTACTGATGTTCAGTTAAGATTTTTGGTTCCAGATGATTTGACTGAGGTGTATATATTTGTAGACAAGAATGTACTTCGAACTATTGGTTATAAATTGTCTAATAATTTCGTTGTGTGTATAAATATCTTTTAAGGTAAGAACATTATGCCAAGATTGGTTTCCCATTGATTATCCGTTGTCATGGTACGAAGATATTACATCCAGTTCGCGTTTTTTCGCGCTAGCGGCTGTCTACAATCTAGCTATAATAGGATTAATAGTTGCCGAAATCAAACCATACAGAAATCTTAACAAAGAGGTCCAATCTTAATGTGCTTTTAAATATAAATCAGTTTCTTTTAACAATATTCAAATGTTTTTGCTTTTAGGATAAAGGAATTTTACCAGATTCCATGGGCCGTAATGCTGACATTGGTTATATACTTTCATTGGGTGTGCATCGAAAACATCGACGAAATGGGATTGGGTCATTGCTGTTGGACTCCTTGCTAAATCATTTGACGACCGCTGAACGTCATTCGGTGAAAGCGATATTTTTACATGTGCTAACCACAAACCAACCTGCCATACAATTCTATGAAAAAAGAAGGTATTATGGGAACTTTTCTTAGTTTATTAAGAATTTACTATCATTTGCTACAACATTTTATTTTTCAGATTTCATTTGCATTCATTCCTTCCCTATTATTATAACATTCGAGGTAAAGGGAAAGATGGTTTTACATATGTCACATACATCAATGGAGGTCATCAACCGTGGACATTATTATATCCTTTACAAATTTACTTTTCTGTTCAAATTCAAGTTATGAGTGAAAGTTGATAAATCGAACTTTGGCTATCTTCATTAACATAAATTATTTAGATGTGTTACAACGTGTTCGACTTATCGACTTTCATGAAATATTTAAATTAAATTAATTGTATACGTGTGGGTTCCTTAACTTCTTTATACAGACCACATCAAGCACTACGTATCGAAGTTACAACATGCTGGTGCAGTTTTCACATGGATTTCGACGCGTTTGAGGCAAGTTGTACGTTGGATTTGTCATAAAACCGTGTCTCGTTTTAATTTTGCACATTAAGTTCAGGAAATTCACAGAAGCACCGAGTGGTATATTCGAAGGAAAGAAATAAATCCAAATCTGTAGATATATAAGTGTATTTAGCACCGCGCTAGAGAAATTTCAAATAGGAAAATAGTTTGTTTTTAGTTATTATATATGAATGATAGATGATGAGAGTTTTTTTTAAAGAAATATGCAAACATAATCATGGTTAAATTGTTGACTGCGTCCATACAGACATACATATAGGCATATTGAATTGCATGGAAACTAATTTTAAAGTATGTATATTATGTATAAGTGGTTAAATTTTATAAAAGGGTCCAACAAATGTATGGATCCACTGAACACAATCACTTCAGATAATATTCACCCATATCATTTGGTCCTTCACATGTTTTATCTCCAAATATTTTAGGAATAGTATTTTTGATTACCACACACAATTGTAATCACTTTAAATTTTTTATTGCTTTTTTAATTTTTCGTTTTTAGTAACAATGTTTTGTGTAAATACCATAGATTTTATTTTTTGTTAATTTTTTATATAAACCGATAGTAATAGTCTCTCTGTTATATAGTATAATTTTATTCAGTTTCAGGTCATAAAGTACAATAGCCGAGCATCAATAAAGACAGTATAAAATAAAAAATATGCTGTCAGTTTAAAGAAATACGACAGATTAAAAAAAAAAACTAAATACTAAACTAAAATAAAAACTTACAAAGCATATGTATGCCATCAAATACATATTTATCTTTTATAGATCTACAAAACAAAGACCAAGACACCTCATTATCTTATATTTGGCTTGGGTATTGATGTTCGGAAATGTCTGTTGCTCTAATTTACTTTACTTCATGCTCTATTAGCGAACATGGTCTTATAATGAGTATCATGAGGCGTGTTTGAAAGCTTTTATATTTTGATCTGTATACAAAGTATTTCTAAAATACTCAAATTCAATAAAACTATTTTTACTGCAATTTTTATATGTTTGTAGCAAATTTAAAGGTGAAATTCATGTTTAAATAAAATATGTTTAAGAAAAAAGACTTAATTGATTAATTTTATTAATTTGATATAAAATATCTTAAATATTCTTTAGGCTTCGAAACAGATAATATATAACATGTGTATTCTCTTCATCTGTTAGCCGTACGCTTACGCGAGCTATGTAGTTCCAGCTTTAGCCGGATTTCCGTTCCGGTTACGTAAAACCGCATGTCGTATGAAGGTGAGCACTGCAATTTTTAAAACTGCGGCCACTCTGTCGTTTAATGCAACAAAACGTCAGATTTAAGTTACTAAATGCGACAGTGAGTGATAATTTGTCAAGACGAAAACTTGAATTCTCATGTCCGAAAGTGTCGCGAGAATTCGTACTACCGCATATGTAAAATAGAAGAAAAACGCGGACTTTTACGATAAATAAATATCCTTCGCTCATTCAATTTCCTTCCTATACAATTCGGCTCGCTTAGTCCATTAGTTAAGGCTACGGTACAGTGATAAAAAAATATTAGATTACTCCAAAAGGAATAAAAGTACCACAGATATATGATATAAACGCACTTTTCAAAAAAATTATATGATAATATAATATACGACACTTGACACCGAAGTCACCGTTTGAAGAACTATCAGCACCCTTAGGAATATACAAACCTGCAAAATGCTAAATTTCCAACGTCGACTATTTTACATATTCATTCTGTGTATAAACACCACATTCGCGTGGGGTAAGTTTATCTTCAAGGTAGCAATGAGATATTACAGATAAACCTGCTATTATACAATAAGATTGTATAATAATAATTACCACATAATCTAATGCACTGCATACTCTAGCACATTTGCAGAAAGGATATTGCGCTCCTTAATTGATAGAAATGCTGTAAATATTCTGCTAACTACAGGTTAATAAATAAATTAGGTTAATTTTAGTAGTTGTCCAACTGATAAAAAAAGTGAGCAGTGAGTACCTGTATTAAAATGTGACAATGGAATGTAGTCGTATTTGCATTATCAGTAAATAATGCTGATGATAATTTACTTTTCGCACGCTTGAATGTCAATGCTATGATTTTTTACGTGTAGAAAGTCCATCACTCTTCAATTTAGTTCTTATGTAACTTATGTATTCTTGGAATAAAATATCTAATGAATCTTTTAGGCAGCTTAGCTTTCGAAAAATTTTAACAATAATTCAAGGATGTGATATAGTTTTGTTTTTAACAAAATTTATTAAAAAGTGAGTATTGATTGAATACTACTCGTGTAAATTCTACTATCTATGTACATACATACATATATGTTTTTGAAGAAGCTAAATTCATATATGTATGTATATGCATATGTAATAAATAATATAAGTAAATATTGTGAATTATGAAATTCAGAAAGGCATGTGTAAAGTGAACAAACATATTTAATTTTGCAAATGACCTATTGAGACAGATGAAACCTTTATTGACTTATTGCACTGAATATACAAGCAGCTAGGTAAATATTTATTCAGTGAGGTATGACTATTTATTTTTGTTTTGATTACTGAACGACAAGTATCAATTTTGCCGGCACTTCGGCCATTATAATTGTCATCGCGGTCACGTATACAATAATTTTGTTCGAGGTGTATTGTGAATTATTTTTAATAGAGGTTGTTCACTATAAGCAAGGATGTAATGAAGTGTCTTGTAACACACACAAATCATTTACAGTTACTATGAAGTTTGTGAAACTTCGGATACAATTTGCCAAGTCTATTGCAAAGATGCAAGCGGAAGTTATATATGTATGTTTACTTGCCAGAATAAGTGTGCTTACTAGATACGGTCAAAATTCAAGTGGTACGAAACTGCATTTTGGTAAAATTACTCGTTCTGAATTATACTGTATACGATGCGAAGAGCTGAGTTTAGCTAATTATGGTTTTTAAGCGAGCGTAAAATTCGTCATCATACATTTTTTTTTGTGGTTTTTAAAATATTTCCTTTAAATGTTAATAAAAAGGCTATGTGAATTACTAATAATAAAAATTACATATTTAAACCATTTAAATCGTATATCAAGAATTTATCATTGATAAAACTTGTTAGGATTTTGTATGTAGACTTTTTCTGACAGTTAGCTTAGTTGTTGAAATTAAGTTTCAGTTAAGTTTTTGAGATCTATAAATGAGTGAAGTTCCTATATCCTAATTATAGCGCTATTGATTTTCAAAGAAGTCTTTAGTCTGGTGATTTCTCTCCAGAGATCATTCATTTTAAGTCTGACAGCAGAAAAAAATCGTCGAACTATATCTGTAGAATACTGTGGATTCCAAACCATATAATTTCCCATCGTTTTCATTGATTTGTGACACTAAAACGGTCGTTTGCAAGCTCATGTGACTAGCCCTTTCCACAGAAAGTTCGCTTACCTACATAGTTTTTCATGAATCATATGTCTAACACTATCTTTTATCTTTGATGACGTCAGTATTCTCATTCAACCTCATTTTACAGTTATCTAAAATACTGCTGAGAAACAATTTTTTTACTAATGATATATTTTTTCCACTATATGTATATGGTTAAGGATATATACAAAATTAAATTTTTTATTACAATATACTCGCAATGTGTGTACATGTGTATATGTCGTTATTTAATAAGAAAAAGCAAACTTTGCATGGTCTCAAGTAACGAAGACATATCGTGTTTATATAAAAATTAACTGCAAAATACAATAATAACAAAAAATCTGCTGTCGTGGCTGAAACTTGATTGCGTAGCTATGCCAGGCTATGTTGAATTATCGAAATTTCTATATCGAAAATGTATACTGTGGAAGTCGTCACTCATTTGGATTAATAAGAGAAATTTGAGGTCCTACTGAAACTGAAATTGAAGAATTTAAAGTTATTGGCAGCAAAACAAACATTCTCGTACGACGCAAAAATTCGAGAAACTTGATTTAGCATATTCACAATTAATATGTAAGTACTAGAGCTCTTCGACTAATCGACTAAGCGGATTATCCAGATAAGGCATTATCCGAATAATAATATTCAGTTTGCAGTATCCGGATAGTCGTAAGTCGTCGACTATTCGATTAACCGCTCATTTCCGACTATCCGGTTAAACCATTTATTTTATATATACGTTTATACATAAATAAAAAGTTTATAGAATGATATATACATATATATATATAATATATGTACATATATATATTATATATATACTATATATATACCATATACATTTATAGAAACTTTGCAGTATATACGCGCACAATTGGTATTTTCACAAATTTAAAACAAGCAAAAATCAAATGCTGTTTGGATTTCAAACAATTTCCATTTATTCAAATACTCGCAGCAGAGCAACTAGTCGCAATGTTACGACAATTTGAGTAGTATTCATACGAACGGTTACCAATCGGATATTCTCATAATCGGTTTTCGGGTTATTCGAATAATTTTGACAGCCCTAGTATCTACATACACACGAGAGTGGAGTGCGTCGTATGTTGCCCCATGCTGTAGGAGTCTGCCCCCGCAATCACATACAGTGGCGTCGCCGATCAACACCACCCTTGAATGTGAGGGTATAGCTGTCCGGTCAGGCGATGTCGAGCTCGAAATATTAAATATATACATCCCCCCAGTTACATGTTGCCCAACAGGATATCAGCCGAACATAGATGCGCTACTTCGTGGTGACTTTAACGCGCATCACGATCTTTGGCATTCCTGCCTGTCAAACGATCGTAGGGGGATGGAGCTGGCGGAACAAATTGTAGATTCGACATTCTGCACAACGAATGACGAAGCCCCCCCCAGAATTATGGACACCTGTAATAACTCGCCAGATATTACCATCGCTAGCGGTGGTCTGATAAATAGTAAAACCTGGCGACCTATGCTAACTCTCGCATCAGACCATCTGCCCATAATTATCTCGATCGAGAAACCTCCTGACTTTATTTCTGTGGACAACTGCACCTTTGTTAACTTTAACAAAGCCAACTTGGTCGGCTTCACAGAATTTACCGAGAGCACCTTCAACGCACTACCCATTCCTACGGACGTCATCGTTGGCTAGCGTCAATTCCGCAAGGTGATCGCCGCTGCTACTGCTCGCTTCATACCGGCTGGAAGAATCGCGGAACTCCGCTCTAATTTCCCAGCCGAAGTAGCTGTACTACCAAACGAGCGCGACACCTTACGCCATGCCGATCCCTGTGGTCCCCGAATAAGGGATCTCAATTTGGAGATTCGGCAAATGGTAAACCATCATAAGCGGACAAAATGGATAGAGCACCTGAAGTCCTGCAACCTCTCCACCGGTGTGAGTTACCTTTGGACTACTGTCAAGGCCCTGTCAAATCCGAGGAGACATGACGATCGGGTTGAAATTCAATTCGATGGTCATGCCTCCTCGGACCCGAAGAAGTGCGCGAATGCGAATGCCAAAAGACCGCGCGCCACTTACTTTCACCACATCACAAAGGCCAAATCGTCCAAATCCATTGGCCCTGACGGAATAAGCATGCTAATGCTAAAACATCTAGGCTCGACGGGAGTAAACTCTCTCACCAAGGTCCTCAACTTGTCGATGGCCACTCTTCAAATACCCGATGTGTGGAAAGTCGGAAGAGTGGTCTCACTACTGAAACCTGGGAAACCCGCCAACAAAGGGGAGTCTTATCGCCCGATAACTCTCCTTTCCCCAGTAGTGAAGACACTT